GAGTACGACCCTCCCTCGCGGTCAGAAACACCTCCCCCCACGTTGTGATCATCACAACGATGGCGTGTCCTGAGCGGGACAGCGAAAGTGTCGTTGCAGGTGCGTGGTGCGCTACATCCACATCAGGACCAACAGTATATTTTGCTGCGAGTGGTGGGGCTGGGGCGTGTCAGTGAGGCTAGGTTTAGCGTCCCACCAGTTCACACTAGTTCTCGAAGCGGGTGAGGGACAATAACCGGTGGGGAAACGACTACTACGAACAATATGACACAGTCTTGTCGTTTACCGAAAAAAAAGAAAGGAACCCGGCTGGCTCCTCGCCAAACTAGTCGCCCCATCATCCCCAGCGAACAAGACTGTAACTGACCTTACGGGAGTGTGCTAGTATCGGGTCAGCTTTATAAGTCGCGTTCACTCCAGCCGTCCATGCTAATTTCTGCGTGTCGCAGCAGCTGATATCTCGAAATCTACGTCCATTCTGCAACATCTGCTCTTCTAGGGAAGATGTTGCCGAACTCCTCGAGCAAGATGGTGATTTCCTACTGAGAAAGGAACTAATAAATGATGGTAAGTTGTAAAAGTTATAAAAGTTCACCTGGTGTTTTGTCATGTGCAAATGCACTACGGATGGGGATTCTGAATACAGTGGCGTTTCATTGAACGAGACCATGATGAACTCGTCTAGGTCTGCTGATAGCGGCCATATCCGTTCGATGTGCTGACGAAGTGAAGCACTTCATGATCAATCAGTCGCCACAGGGCGACTTCTACGTCGAGCGAATTCGTGCTAGAACCATCGAGGAACTCATTACAGAAACATTTGTGGGTTTCTTGCTTCGGAAGTGTTACCGAACGGTTTGATTTTTATTGAAGGGGAGCTATGGTTTTGGTTTCAGGCAAAGGGGTGAACCATTATCAAAAGCCTCACAGGCAGTACTGAAACGGCCAATTCCACGGCAAGAAGTGGATGTTGAATCATGAAGACATCGTTTTCAAAGAAGTAATACCTTTTCAGTACAGGGATTCTAACTGCTTCTCCTTGTCATTAGATCTTCAACCTCTGGTTGGTGTTGGACTGTAACCCTGGCACCTAAGGACACATCTTGTTATTGTCAAAGGACACTCGTAACCTCTTCTCACAGGGCACACCATCGTTGGGAGAATACCTGAATACCTGCTTGGTCGTTTGGGAGAGAGAAAGGTCGTGTCTGGTCGGTATGGTATCTGGTCTAGACAGATGTTCTTTCGAGGCGGGGAAGATGTTCGTTC